GGAACGGATGCGAGGACAGCTCAGTGCAACAGGACACTAGGAAAGGAGGGAGGGGAGAGGGAAGCTCGCTTGGATGAGCAGGAATGTGGTCACTTGAACTGGTCTTAGAGGAATTCCAGGAGAGAAAGGAGAGCATCCTGGGCACAGGAAGCTGCGTGTTCAAAACCCAGAGGCAGCGTGACTTTGGACAAAGATATCCAACTTTTGCAGAAAAACAGCGGAGTTGGCAAAGCGTAGCTCATGTGAAGGAGATGGGGAGCCCTGCTGTTCCCAGCACAGGGCTGGCTGGTGAGGAATTAGGAGGGGTGGGGGAAAGAAGGCAGGAGGCCATGTAGGGCACGGAGTTAGGAGTGTGGGCCTAGCCTCAGACACCTCTGTGAGCAGGGAGCGGAGGTGGAGGACCAGGACTGTGCTCTGGGGAATTAGGATCCTCCCTGGAGCAGGCGCAGTTCCTTCCAGGTCACCAGCGTCAGCAACACTGTCCTCCAGCGCAACCTGAGCCCTCTTCACCCATCTGCAGCTGAGACAAACACGGACTTCTGAAGGCACTCAAGGCAGGGATTTGGGAGCTGCAGGGAATATGAACTCTTCTGTTTCCCCTTCCCTCCCTCCTTTTCCTCCTTCCTTCCTTCTCTCCTTTGTTTATTGAGCAGAAGTATACCTTTTCTTTTTGAGCCCTGGGAGCAATGGTTTTCATAGAGAGTAATCATTCTATTTGCGTTCCGGCTGACTGCTCCAAAGAGTGGTTTTCAGAGTCCCAGAAATGAAATACAGATTGCCCTGCTACCGCCTGTATTTGCTCACAATTGGCCCCCTACTTAAGCTCTTTCTGTGTTTACACACAGGACATCAGGCGGCTTCATGTGGTCAAGGTACTGCGTTCAGCAGTTCCGGGAGATTGAAGACCAAGCGTTGGTGCGCTCTGCATCTGGCGCTTCTGGAGAGGGGTGGGGTGCAGGTCACCTTGCCAAGGAGACAGGGCAGCTGTTGAGGCCAATGGGAAGAGGGTGATATAAAGTCGAAGGGAGAGAATGAAAACTTGAAAGCAGCAACC